CACTTAATCTGAACTGCTCATGAAACATATGCTGTAGCAACATCGTCCTTAGGAACTGTTTTGAAAAACTAGGTCTTAAGATTTTCAGTTTAAAGTTCTAGTTTAGGAAGCAGACTTTTATTACTAACTAGTCATTCAAAAACAGTGATGATATAAACACGGAATACTTTTTCATTCTTTATATAGTGACACTGTCTAATGATTTTTATGCACAAAATAAATCAAGCATAACATAAGTTTCGATTTGATACCTTACTACAACCTGAAGGACTGTTTGTTATCTTGTTATTGTATTCAGATTGAGTTTATTTACAGCTGTAGGTTGTGTTTGAATATGACAATCACTTATATAAGTAATGAATGCCACGTTTATTTTTATTTACTACAAGTCGGTTTCTTTCCATATATGTAACTTACTGCCTATAGGGAATACAGATTTTACCTGCTACTTACATATGCTAGTCGGCAAATTCCATTGGGTTAAGACGGGTAACAGAAGTTTTAACAAGCTGTATAAGGTCGAATGAGATGTGCGTAACGATAAAATCTATATTAGAACAAATTAGAGCTAAATCTTTACCTTTCAAGAGGTAATTTAGTTGCACCTTATGTTGTTTAACGGTAACTCCCTTTTCTTAATTGTTTTATCAATTTTAAATATGAAAGACTGGAAATAATTCACCTAAAAATGGAGTGCAATTTTTTAATTGAATGATTTTGTCAAAATTCATCAAGTGTGATGTTTAGCACTTTTCAGAAATCCACTTGTTTTCTGTCCTCAGGGACGTAAACAGGAAAATAAATCCTCAAATGAAACCGTAAACACTATGAAAATGAATTTTAATATAATTATATGGTTGGATACAGTCAATAGAAAGCCCTACTTGACTCAGGTTTCGCTCCTAGTTACAGTCATCAGCAAGGTATGTTTACAAACTTAAGAGGACTGATGTCCCCTTATAGATTCTAATTCACGTCACCTAGCGATGCAGTCAGAGACCAGTGGGCTATCTGAACCGCGGTTAAGTCAATCCAAGATTGAATTACATACACTGATTGGTTACTGAAGTGTCAATAATTTCATATTGTCTGATCCTGAATCAATTACATTGAATGTGTTTGAAAAATTATGACAAGATTCATTTAAACATTCTGCTGCTTGGACAACAGCTTCAGTAGAATATTGAGATTTTCATTAAAATCAAAAAAAATCACTCCAAGCGACTACTGAAACAACTAATAAGGTTTCTGGATTTTGTTAGGATCACATATTCATAAAACAAGGAAAGTCAACTACCTACTTAATTAGTGCAAAAACTTATTCTTCTTTATGTACATTTGTGAGTATATCGAAAAAACGTCTGAACATACCGAGGTGATTTCCCTTCAAAGGTCAAAATTTATTGCAAGAAAAAGGAAAGTTAGGTCATATTTATGTCTATATATATTTTTTTCATAAATTCTACTTAAGATACTTTTTAAAGTTGATTTTTGGTAAACATTTCCAGCTAAAATTTGTTTTTATGCCAACTGGATCTCTCAAAAAGCTCTACTTAATGGGTGCAAAGCTAACGTAGCCTTAATATTCACTGAACTATCACCTTGGAAAACCTGATTTATATCGAAATCTGCTGGTGTACTGCAAATTATTGTCTTAAATTTTCCCTTCGTTGTTCTGGAAACGAGACAAATCTACATATAATTTGATAATTCCCATTGTAGAGTCAAGAATAAGATATTCAGCGAAGAGACTCTTTTCAACAAATTTATTTCAAGCTGTACAGTCGAAGGCATATGATATTTGAAAAATTATATCTAGTGAGGAAGACTAAACACTACATTATGATAATGACAATAATAATAGAGATGACAATGGCATAAGCATTTGTGATTATGACAACAGTTGAAGTGTGAATGATAACAAAGTAGATTACTTTTTATGAACCATTCGATGCGTTACGTAATCTACCTTGTTATCATCCATACTTCAACTATTATCATAAACACAAATGCTTTTGTCATCATCACCACCATCATCCTCACGGGATATAATTTTTCAGATGTCATATACACATGGCTATACAGCCTGAAAATAAATCCGTTGAAAGGAGTCTCTTCGCTGAAAATCTAAATATTCTGCTGATGATACGCTTACACATAGAAACTATTACAAGAAAATCATTTTATATTCTAAATACTCTAAGATTTAATTTGAAACTTATATTATGTTGAATAAGTCAAAGTCAGTGCTTTAATTTTTGCTGGACAGGATCTAGATATTTACAGTTTTTTTCATGAATAAGAACAAGGCATGTATCAGCGAAGAAATATTTCTTTTCGACGACTTCATTGCCAAGCTGTACAGTCGTATTTATACTCGGTAAAGTGACACACAACTGCACCAAAAAGTTCCCCAGTCAATATACAAAATATATAATCGATGTAGATGATGGTAGTTTTTCGGGTGGAAGAGATAGAAAATGGGTCACTGAAATAATGGAGAATACTAGTGGCTCAGGTGGATGATCTTGGTTGTATTGTGTTCTCTGAGCTGGGTTGTTTACTCGTGAAGCTTTCATCGTTTTGCGTTAATGACACAACGATCAAAAGAAACAACCAATCACAGACCACATCGTCAGAGCAAGCCACTAAATCACTCAAGGAGAGATATATTGACAGCTCACTTCACACTGAAGTTAGAGCTGATGATGTCGTCTAGCAAGACGATGAAAGCTTCACGATTAAACAATCCACTCAGAAAACACAATACAACCAGGAATGGGTCACTGAATAAGGAACGAATTGATAACAGGTGGTGACATAAGAGACAAAGGTTGTCAAAGAATTATAAAACGGTGATAATCGAGCTAAAACATGTAAAATAGGTCAGTGAAAAAGGAATGAATTAATCTAAAAAATTGAAATGAAATAAAAATTGGTGATAACGATGATAATAAAAGGGCCAGGGTAGAGAAAGTGGTTTCACAAAACGTTTCTGAATGCAAAGTTTCGGTTTCTGTTGATGTATAGCTAATGCTTCAGTTATACATAAGTGGTGGAAACGTAAACCTTTGAAGTAGTTCAATTTAACTTTGTAAATTATTTTAAAGGATGAATCTTGAGTTGCTGAGTGACCTAATTCAACAAAGTGTTCACATATGGATGAAGTCGTTTTCCTTTGCTCATTTCTGGTAAGCAACACGTTTTTGGAGGGCCCACTTACAACGTCCAATAAAGTCAGCTCCACAGGAACATCTAAATTTGTAGATACACATGGATGTGGACATAAGTGAAAGCCTATGCTTCATGCATTGACGGATCAGACGGCGGCTGGAGCATATCAGTCTCAGTCTAACATCATAGAAGCTATTATTGATACATCTTGACAGATGACTTTTCAGCACTCCTTTGAATTCTAGATTCATGGTTAAAATTTTCTTAGGGACTGTAGTGCGACGGGGAGTGATTCGTTTCTTCAGACTCTTATCAATAAATCTTTTAAGGATATCCGTCATTATGTAGTATTGTTCTAAGAGTTTCAATTTCAGCATCCACCATATCTTCTGAACATATTCTATAGATTCTGGAACACAGTCAGTAAATGAGATTTCTCCCACAATTAAGAGGTACCTAAGTATTAAATTTAGTGAACTGTCCGGTTCTTTGAATCTGGCCATAACTGCTTCTCTATAACGTTATGTCCAGAAGGTGGAACGATGAGTTTAACTCTTCCTCTACAGTGAATTTAATGAACTGGTGACAATCATTGTAACGTCTTAGCAGCTTGTCCACTGAACATGCCTTGTCACAAATAAAAAGTGTCGTCAATGTAACTTTTTTACAAATAAAGTTCCGAAATTACTTCTTCAAAAGGCCCGTTTGCTAGCTTGACCATACAGGTATCAGTCAGAACAAGACACAGTGGAGACCCCATTGCAATTCCGTCCGTTTGATTATAAATTATATCATTGAATCTAAACTGTACATTAAACGTACATTTTAATATTAGTACTTTTAGGTGGCTCGTAAGTAATCCAGTGTTAATATTATTAGAATCGATGTAATCACAAAGATAACAAACGGTTCCAACAAGCAGAACATTGGTAAATAAAAAACAAACATCAAGTGATATCATACGCTTAACCGTTACGTTTTTTCTCCGATGCAGCGAAGAAAACCAAATGTATCGGGAAGACTATATTTGCAGAGATTTGATCTCACCGGTTCAAGCATTTTTGTAAGTCACTTTGCCAATGAGCGACAAGGCAAATTAAGCACATCCAATACCGGACGAAGAGGAAGACCATCTTTATGCACCTTCGGCAGACCATACAAACGCGGCATGTTCTAACCAGTGTTGAAAATATTTTACACGAAACGAACTACCCACTTATAAATGCTCATAAGTAGCATAACTTTTATATTATAATTTGTGAACTATTTTGTTTTGGGTCACTTAGCTGCAGTTCATCAGCACTTAATTCTTATGCGACAGATTCGTCATTCAAGAAATATAAGCAGTGTTGAACAGAAAAGTATTTGATGCTCCCATGTGTAAGAATACCAACTTCCTGCACACTGTATTATCCAAAGTATAAAGTAGGATAATAATTTTCACGAAAGGAATATTCTTATCTCTATACTTGGAGTCAGAAGGCTTCAATACTTTCTGTTTTTCTGTTTTTTAGGATACAGCTAACCTCCTACCAGGTAGCTATTGCAAAAATCTTAAAGCTATAGGTGTACTTATACTATAGGTTCACGAGAAGAAAACATCGGATGTCAACATCAGTGACCAAATGTCTTTTTAAAGAAAAAGAATCATAAATCATTCAACCTTAGTCAATCAAAATTGAATTATTCTCATTCACGTAGTGAACAGATGTGGTTGTGTGGCAGTCATTTCTTAGTGTTATAGAGTATATTTAAACTGGCTCCTTCTCTACCCTAAACAGTTTAATCGTTTATTCATAATTTCCCTTTTGCAATTATATTTTCAGTTGAATAAAGCTCCTAAGGTGATTTTGGAGACTCCTGATCCAGAAATGAAAAATCCAATGGTGAACTACTACACCACTGTTTTGGCACTTATCACGTGGTTTGAGGATATTGTTTACAGTCCAGTGAACATAGACTTTCATTTATCAACGTCTGATTCAGAGCTCATTGAACAAAAGTTTGTTTCACTAGGCAAAGGCATAAAAACAGTGGTTCCAGTTAATACAGAAATGTCAATCAAAAGGTAATTGATAAAGGCTTTGGAAATGACTTATCATACGTTTGCATTTTGGTAAATTTCTATTTTGATGAATTGTGAATGATGCGTTTCCCAGCTTACATAAACAGCAGAAGGAAAGCAAGAGTATTGAGATGGAGTTTTCCGTTGGTCATCGACCTAAGTCTTACAAAATAAATTCACAGTAATTAACCATAATGAGAAAGAGCTTTCCTAATCAGTGATCACTTTTTAAGGTAAACCAATATAAAATGAATGCTTACATGCATTTAAATAAGTCGATCACTAATCGGATAAAGACGACCTTTACTTGAGTCAGACTAAACCAATAATCAATCAGAAGAAGGCTATCTTCGTCAATTTATTCAAACAAAAACGGTAAACAAACTTAATGGAAGCAACCTCGAGACACTGCAAGCAAGCAAAAGTAATCAACCAGTCAGGTAGTCTTACGTCCTCCTGAGAAAACCGGAGGCAGGAAGTCAAACAACTAGCTCCAGCATTTGCCAGTACACTCAAGTGACCAACCAGATTGCATCCAGACAGAGTAGTGCGTTATAATTATCTATACATAACCAATTAACTCGCTTCCTAGGAGGCTCTGATGCACTGATGATAATGTCTAGCATGAAGTTGAAACGTTTGTCAACTTAAACCCTAGTCCAAAGTACAACTCACTCTGGGTAGATTTTTATTCACCTCGAGGAGTTAAAGCAAAATTACTTCCTATTACAACATCAATTGTTGAAAGTTTAAACCACAGAAGAGTTTGAAAGATTGATATAATCTCAGCCAGTGGTCTTATTCAAAATTTTATTTTACCTGTGAGAATACTAATCATAAAAATATTATGATCATAAATAGTATCATTATTCTCAACCAATTTGTCATCATATTGATCAACTGCATACTTTCTTCATAAACATTATTAATAGGGAATCTCTTTCTGCCTTTAAGAACAACTTAAAATTTCAGCCTAGAACATTCCAATTTGACGACCAAATGTTGACTTGCTCACTACAAATACGATTGTACAACTACTGAAAAGGGTTCAGTGAAACAAATCGTTCATCGCTAAACTAATTTGTGTATTCTCATTGGACTTGTTTCCTAATATAAATGCACTTCTTTATCTACCGTTATTCTGATTTTTAAAGTTGCACACGGAAATGTTAAGTATGTGTTTAATTTTCACCTGCAGAAATGTTGGGCTTATCAACTTACCATCTCTTTATGTCCAGTCAGTGCTCAACACGTCTGAAGAACGCTCCCTCACTGTAAAATATGTGGTTTATGTCAATAAAAGTAAACCTGTTACGGTAACCATTTTTGTTTCGACTGGTGACAAGCGTGTATCGAAACAATTATCACTTACACCCAATCCTTACACAGTGCCTTCTGCATCGGTAAGTTAATTTATTAATATTTTATCATACACTGACATTTTTTGAACATGAAAAAACTTAACGTTAGTCCACCTGGACACGATGTGAAAAAATATTCCTGTATGTTTGAGTTAAATACAATAACTATCTTATAACAATAACTATGCAGTTATAAAATAATAAGAATAAGTGCTATAAACACTGCTGACCCTGGTGATGAAAGTCCAAGAACACACCTCAAAACTCGGCGAGTAGTAAACAATTATCATAATGAGTTACTTCCTAAACGTTGTTCTATGGCTTCCGGTTTTTGTAAGGTGGTTAAGCCAACTATTTTTTTCGCTGAAAAAATGCCTCTTTAATCGATTCCAAAAGGTCAGTTATGTTTAACTTACATCGCAAGATTTAAAGGAAGAAAACAGAAAAACCTTTTCGATTAAAAACAGGGGACGTCATTTGACTTCATGCTGTCAGAAAATTGTGGATTATCTGCTTAATCTCCGAAGTTAGAGAACATAACATGATCATGATCATCCACTTGAGCTACAAGTATTCTCCACAGTTTCACTCATCCATACTTCTTTCGTTTACTAAAAAGATCGTCAGGTTTTTCAATCTTTTAACAGCAACACGTTTTGTCATTTAAATAATAATATCAGCCTAAATTTTTGACTTTTCAGTCGAAATTTGTCTTTTTGTCTTTTCGTCAACCAAATAATAATAAGGAAATTCATATGACATTTACTGAATAAACATGAATACTTGCAGTTATAAAATATTCTATGGAAGGAACAGAAATTTTATTACCGGTGCAAACTTTAGCGTTACAGAGAAACTAGACTAAGTCAAATCCGTTATGTTACATATTTTCTGATTACCACTGGCAAGTACAGTTATTAAACAGTATGCTTTAATTGTTATTGATGTTGACTGTCGTTAAAATTTATTTTCACAGCCAGTGGATCAAAAACCATTTATTTCATTACAAAGTTTACTAATCAATCGTGCGGATAATTATTTGTACCCTGATTCCTACACTTTTATATTGGCAAGTATAGTTTTTCCTCCAAAATCAAGACAAAAATACTTAATAAGCCTTGAGTCAAGTAAAAAATCAAGTGAAGTTCAAGTGTTTAGTCCTGCAATTTTGGATACCGGTTTATTAATATTCACTGGGAAATGTCAATTTAATGTTGTAAATAACACTGCTCAGGTTACTATCGGAGAATACCAATTTGAAGGTTAGATTATTCTTCATACTTTTATACAGTTTATGACTACTTCATGCTTCAGAACACAAAGCAAACACGGTTAACTTTTGTCTGACTTTTGGAAATGTATCAAATATGATGGCCTGATATACTGCTGGCTAATTTCATCTCGCAACTGTTAGAAAGGCGGAGTATACCATGACATAAATAACACCTCGATTTATGACAAAATAAAATTGAAACAACATGAAAATATTATCTATCTATATGCATAACTTTGGGTTGTGAAATGGTTTCTATTGTAAATTACACCAAATTACTCCTCTTGTTCTTGTTTCAACTATTCAGATATCAGTAAATCATAAAACACACTCTCGCGTATTCTCGAAATATCTCCAATATATTGTTATCAAGTTCACAAAAGAATTACAATAAATTATCACGGTGGATGGCAGTAAAGTCTTAAGTTAAAAGCATTTCATCACATAATTATTTCAGGCATAGGTACCAAGAACTGCAATTTTGTATGCTGGCTGAATAACTGTTCACTATCAAACCTACGGGAAAGTTTCTATTTTCCTCCCATCTGCAATAACATACCCACAGACCAGATGATAACCTGAAAACCACTGGTGATTTTGCAATATTGTTAATGTTACCATCATTACTAATACTATTTGATTGTGATGGTTATTTAACTCGAAAATACTTTACAAGTAGTGGATTTGCTGAAATATTACACTGAAAAATCCCTATAGTGTTAAAAACTGCCATCTGGAATAAAGTAGTTCCTGTTATTATTTTTAGTTCAAGTCGAAGTTAAAACAAATTGTTGCAAAACGTATGTTTCACAAACAATATTATGATTTCTCCCATTAGTTTTTAAGCTGTATAAGAAGAAAACTTGAGATCGTTCAGTCCTAAGAGCATTATATAATCGTGTTTCATTCTATACTTTGATGTTACTTCATAAATAATTGCAAAGTCATTGTTTTAAATATCAAACATAAATAAGAGAAAAATATTTACTCACTTGTTTACATGTTAGATAATATGTTAAAAAGAATCATTTGCATCACAAGGACTATAATGTGATAGTAGAATTAGTTTGTTAAAGAGTTAATTAGCTTTCTTTCAGTTACACAATTCACTGGGAATCATGTTCTACCCGTAGCTCATATCTGTATTAAAATTAGGAAGCTGTTTTCAATTCATGCTATTTGTAGTTAATGAGGAATGACAAAGACGTGGTGAACACAATGAAACAACTTTAATTCCTGAAATCAATGTACCCAACTGCACTAGATCTTTTTGTCACTAAAGCAAGATTTGAATAACTTTTTTTGAAATTCAAAGAAAAAACCAATCTCTAAAACTTGTCAGCAAATTCCTTTCCGAGTATTCAAAAGTGAATTTTGTCTAAAGAAAAACACAATGTGACATATTACTAAGTACCTCACCTCTTGAAGATCTATTTTGACTATTCCATTTTGTTGATTTATTAGTTGCATTACGAACATTTAGTAAGAAATGTAAAATTTTATTCCATTCTAATATGTCTAATTAATCGACTAGAATGGAATTATATTCTACAACCGGGCAAAAATTTTACTTTTATTTTAGTTCGACAGTAAATATATGGAAGAATAAGCTGCATACTGGGTCTGAAGCTTCTATTTTAAGTATAAATGTTAAAATATTATGCTTAAATCACATGAATATACATCGGTAAATGATTTCATCATATTGTTATTTAGCTGCTGCCATTGCTACAAAACCTGTCAGTAGGCTTTCATAACATTTTGCTTTTTATGAATTACAGGCAGACAACATGAAATGGATGGATTCACAAAATCTGAAGCCACATCTATTAACATTATGGTCCCTTTATATATTTCACCTAGGGTCTCCAGCCCTATAGATTTTAAATTTGTTTTAAATTATGGAAATTCTACTTTGAAATCGCAGTTCAATTTTAATATTGGTGAAACGCAGGTAACGTTGTTAGCTTTTGCTTCTTAAACTACAATCTACGAAGACGTTTTGTTTTGATTAAGCATTTGAAACTTATGACTAGCAATGAACAAAAGGAATAAGTATTTGTCATCAAAATCAAACTATCTAAATACGGAATGGATTATCGTTAAGATTTGAGGAAACTAAAAAGAATCATTTCAGTATGTTTTATGAAAGACCGAATTGATTTCCATATCACGATGAAAAATATTAAATGGTTTATTTTGTAGTAAGAATGAAACTAACTGAATTTTAGCATACATTATTTCATCATATATGATGTGTGAAAGTACGACTATTATTCGTTTTAAAATATCAGTATCATGAAAATTTTGTTTGAATATTTAGAAAAATGAAGTTAAGGATTACTTGAAATGCAACAGGTTTCTTCTATATACAGAATTTTCATCCCGGAACCTAGCTCACAAATCTCTCAGGTTCGCCAGCGGGATAAAAATTGTAAGGAATTTTTAGTTTTAAAAATACCATGTTCCAGATAAGCCCCGTCGCTAGTAATCTAAAATTGTTTCATTCGATAGGTTCTATTCTCTTTGAAAGTGAATAAAACTCAGGTCAGTTTTTTTGAGATTATATATAGGTTTATTTTTACATGCTTATATGTATGTAAGCTAAGACATCATCTCTTTCTATGATTGTACTGAAGTGCTCATGGAACCAATACCCTTTCATGGCACACTTATAATGGTTTTCGAAACAATCCCTTAGTCCGTAGATTATGAGCTCTTCATGCTATTTTTTCACTTGATTACACAAGATGTAATTTTAACTGAGTTTTATCTAAGTTAACCTGTTGAGACAAATAAAATATTTTTGATGAATATACACTTCCTAGATAGTTTTGGGATGTCAAGCCTAGGAAAATGATTTTTTGAGGCCTTGCAGTTGCTCTTCTGATCATATAGCTGCTACTGACATTAATACTGTGCTTTTTATAGATTTTGTTGGTTGAAAATTAATTCCTAACAAGATATCCGACTGGAAATGATTCTCACCCCTATGTTTAATCCCAGTTGATTTGAACAGAATTTTATTCAAAGAACTACATTCTCTTTTAAATTTATTCATTATTCCGATGGAAAAAAATAATAAAGCATCTCAGTCATATGTTACCTATCACTAAAAGTGATTCTTGACTGTGTGTGTCCGAACAACATAAAGTGATGAACTACACAAACCTATGAGCGAGTTTATTGTTCATATTTTGACTAAACTGAATAAAACGAAATACATAGTTATCGTGAATGCAGTATCAGTAAACATTTCGTAGCAGCGATAAGGGCATTTTTCAGCCTAGATGGAATAAAAGTAGGTCAAATAAGACGACTAGGGCTTGGAACAATGGCAAAAACCATCTTGGGTTCCATTTTTGGATTTTCGTTGAAATGTATTTTCTCATCTTATTTCAGTAACATAAGTGAATATCATCCTCATGAATTAAATTTCCATGAAAAGAGTGAATCGCAACCTCCAGTTTATTCATTCAGCAATACTTGTTCTTTAGTGACTTTAGATTTGAAGACTCTTATGTGTATCTAATTTAATAATCGAATAAAACTTATCGGGGCAACATTTGAAACTAATTCAGCAAGGACTGATTTCATCAACATCTGCCAGTCTATTTGTATCTGAGTTCAAGTATCTTTTATCAGATTAATATGATAATGGTAAAAAATCTATTTTTAACCTATGAATGAGGACGAAGGTAGTCATCAAAAATTAATTAGCTTCTTCTGTTCACGAAATACTTGAGATTGAAAATCTGAAATTCACAATTAAAAAATAAAATCTTCAACTTATTAAAGCTTGATCAACCAGATTCAATTTACTGCGTCATAGAAAGCCTCCAGTCTATTAGAATACTACATACAGCTTCAGCTTTTCGTTTGAACGTTCACAGAATGTTATCTAAACAGGCCACATGATGCAGTCTAAACAAGATATCTACCCTGTATACGAATGCATAAGTTAAAAGTTATCAAAATTAAGTTTATCAGAAAAACTGACTATGCAGCCCAATGGCTATTATTACCGCCCATCTCACACCAGTTTTCCATGCGAAAATAAAACAAGATATCAGGACCTGGTCCACAGTGAATAGGCATACACATTCGCCTTTGAGACTTCTAGTTCACGAAACATAACTATGACCAGGCCTTAAGATTATTCAAACAAATAACTTCCGGAATACTTCTATGGATGCACATTAGTTATAAATTCATGTACACCATATAAAAACAGGAAGGAATTTAAATTGAAGCTGATAGGCTTCATATATTGTTTGGTCTGTAATCTGAGTTTGATATTGACGTATTTTCCTAAAGCAATCCTTCAAAGTTGGTCTTACTTTAAGATGCTTCACTATCAATCATTAAGTTGTCACTCAAAAGGAGAATTATCGTGATATGTATTCTCTTCACAACAAAGTATCTTTAATGTCAGCATGCTATTTTTTCAATTATAATAAGCGTTGATGCGAATATGCACTAAAGGTAAGCCTACATTTCGAATTATTTTAAATGTGGAACTCATAAAACGGGGAAGAGCTCAGTTCCACTTTATCTCCTTTACTGAATGTAATGTGTGTATTAAGATCACTTAACTATGCTCGAAAAGTTATTCAGTCAGTAATACTGCTTCATTGTATAATGTGTACATTAAAATAACTGAGATAAAACTGCTTTCATTACATCTAAGGTGAATTTTATGAGCGCTTAGTTCAAAATTAGATACAGCATAGTCAAACTAAGAGCAAAAGTTAAAACATGTGAAAACTTCTAAAGCTTGTAAGTGTAAATTTATTGGCTTATAATTTAAATTTAATGTTTTTAACTGCAACTTAGCACTTAAGAAATTTGTTCTCCAGTTAGGCAAACTACAATATGTTTATTATTTAAACATGGAATATTTTTACTGATTAACGCAAATTCAATTAGTTGAAGAGTAAGACATTATTTTTATGAATATCTATTTAATAAATTCAGGTTAATTCATTTGATGATCTATTATCGGAAACGTACCAGACTAGTGTGATGGATTTGGATGATCTGCCAGAACACACTAACAACACACTTAGTCCCGGAGAAATTGGACGAATTTATAACCGTTTCTTTTTTAAATTATCGAAATGTGGAAAATATAAAATAACATTCGCAACTACATCTGATATTTCTTGGCCTACTGACATACTGGATCTTCTTATTGTGGATGTTAGTGACTATCTCTGGATTTCCAATCGACATGATTATGAAGTTAAAAAGTTCAGTAGGTAAATAAATAATGAATTACTGACAATAAATAGTCAACATCTATAATAAATAATTATAGTGAAGTATATAGATGCAACCAAAGACATGTTTGCTGGCGTTTTGGTTTACAATATTGGTCATGGGAAACACATCGTGTACTTGTTGAATCATTCAGTTCAATACTTTATTTTTCAAGCGATCTTAGTTTAGATTTCATTTATTTGGTAGCAAAAACTTACAGTTTTATTTATCTATAGATTCAGACATAAATATTCACTATTGAGTACGAAAGTTACCTTTGGATTTAGCTTTTTTGATCTCCAATCCTCTGAATACAAGATTGTTTCTATTGGCGTCAAATATGAGGCACCCTAAAACAATAAAATATCAACCAATCTTTTCCATTACGAATAACGCAATGAGAACACCGTTTACAGAATAAGATGATGTCATTTATTTCATAGGATTTTTTTCAGTTCCATACAACCTGAACAATCAAACAAAAGATGGCTATAAACAGTATGAACGAGCCTTATATGGAGCGTTTTAATACACTGGACAATGTTTAAAAGGACTGGAAAGAAACAATAGTTCAGAATACAAGGGATGTTCAAGTAATAAATGTTCACGAATGAGTGAGACAAGATTAGAGGCAAGCAGAAGGGGTTGCGCAATTATATGGAATAAATGACGTCACCTTTTACCCTGCAAACGATGTTCTCTTTACGTTATTCAAGTTTATAAAGGGGACCAAATGTATGAAACTTTTGAACTATAGCGCAATATTCATAGTAGTTAGCAGATAAGTATATTTACTTTCAATGGATAGATATGTCATGATAAAAAATTATCACAGTGAATTAACATAGGTGTACCAGACCTCCAAGTACATGAAGATTGTGCTCTGACCTAATACCTAATTCAGTCAGCGTACTGTCCAGTATTCCAAAGGGAAAACCAAAAGTTGTGTTCCATTCAGTCACTGAAATCCGTTCACCTAACTAAACAAGTAAAATTATGTCAACTAGATAATTCAGTAACGAATTTTGTTAGACTCTTAGAGCTTTGGGGATACAGAGTACATAGAATATCATAATATTTTCGTGGTGTTTATTGAACTATGAGCGGTCTTGAGGCTAGTACAGAAGTTTCAAAACTATGGTTTTTAGTTATTTTTCTATAAAACTGACATCTTCGCCGAACCAGTAGCAGGCAAATATCTCACATTCACATTGAAGCTAAAGTAGTCTTACAGTATTTGCTTGGTTTTCGACTGCGCAAAAGTTAAAATTAGGCTTTGAACCCCATTCGCATTGTTAATTAGGTTTATTATAATTCGACTATCTGAAATAGCCGTGGTTTTGCAGAATAGTGTTTGTACTGGGGAATGACCCTCAATCACCCTCAATCGTCAAGCAGTATAAATTAAGTTTGTGAAAGAGTTTAGCTATATGTGCTTCTAAATATTTTTTTTCAAAGACGTGGTTCGGTAACTACTGATCAAGCCTTCATCGAGATGACAATATGCGCACCTAAGGGGTATGGAAATGAAGTGAGTTCCAGTTTATGATTCCATATTACTGATTCATTCCTTCATTTAATAAACTAGTACTTATTTCTACCACAGATGACTGATTTCTAGCAGCTAGGTTGATTTTTGCTTAAATCAGGCAAAACAAATTGTTTTGTTGAATATATGCATTAACTGAGAAGCTATTTCATGAAACAATGTACACATTTTCCCACCTATAGTTACACTAAAATTCAAATCTCAAAAGTTGTATGACATATCAAGAGCAGTATATGAGAACACTAAGTCATTTCGGGGTGAACTCTCATTCATGACACTAGTATGTTTAAACGGTTGGTTTCAGCATTATCTCTACCCCACTCACTGTTATCCTTCATATTTTTACCTGTTCTTAGAGTCATTTACAAAAAGCAAAAGTTTGTCGACATAATTATTCCTTTTGTCGTCAGTATTCTGAAATTAGAACATACAAATTCAATAGTATCGTTACCGCGAATAATAATTCATCTAACATCCATCTACTATAACATAGGCTGTAAAAACAGTTGACGTATATTTATGGCTGTCAGATCGACTCTATCAAAATAAGTTACATAGGCTAGTTCACCTGTTTATTGCATATGAGGGAAAACTCTTACTGTTGATACTGGTAGCACAGAACAAACGAAAAAATCAAGATAGTAAGGTTTGAAACATTTTTATTAGTGGTTGTAATAGTTTGCTACTGTTTTGAAGGTATTCAGTTGGTTCTCAGTTCTCAATGTAATCCTTGGGAGACGATACTTTATAAAAATACCCGAGTGCAACAAATAATGCCTTTTTTGTATTCATTTAGGCTAAATATACATTTCCATGTCGTCAACTCAACCTACTCTACGAAGTGCAGATTTTAGAGCCTCTTTACTTCGGTAAATGATATTACTGTCAGTAGTATACAACATACAGTAGACGTGACTACATCGTATCAAAGCCCAAAGTTTAATTAGACCTGCTACTCTCTAAAAGACAAGAAATCATCAGGAAGAATGCAAGTCATGTTACCGGTGGATCCTACTTTTTTCGTCTGTTTGATCAACCGTGATAATTCTTCCCCACTCAGATACATACATTAAGATCAGCTCATCATATTTCTCTGAAAGTTAGCTTGGTTTTTCATTTTTGTTTACTGAACTTTGTGCTTATAAGTTCACAGGTTATTCTGTTTTTTTGAAAACCGTTTGTTGAATGTAGATCCGCGTTGATATACTTGTTCGCCCATGGTCTAAAAACCCTGATGAGATATTAAAAAGCCAACGGATGATTAAAATAATTGGAAATATTGAAACTGCAGACTTTCATACCAGTTATAATTTCAATACATCCACCCTGACTCTTTCACCTGTATTAGATATGAACCAATTCCTTCCTAACAACTGGTATCAAGCAGGTGATAAGCATGTGAGTGCTAAGATTTTCCATAAAAATATACTGCTTCCTGAAGTAATAAAGTGCGTGCATCATTCTTTTTTCATCGAATCGTTAAAAATAACTTTGTTTTGGTAAAAATAAGTATTTCACAGTTTTCATAGAAAGAATAAAATGTGGGAAAAATTTAGTTTTGCAAACATTTAACCGTGCAATACTCATGCAACTGTATAGATAATTTACTCTGGAAGAATAGCACAAACAGACAAAAATTCTAGATAACTCGCTTTCTTACTCCATTTGCTTGGCATATCTAATTACTTACGTTCACCAAAGCTAGATTCATAAAATCAGTGTCAGGTTGACCAACGTTTGTGTTCACTAAAAGAACAGCTTTCATAAATTATTTAGATAATACTGTGTTATTTATTGGCGCCTGTGATTTCTTCACTAACTGTTATGTTGGATAGCATCAATCTGTCTCTGTTGACATATGAATTTGTCGAGTGGATGCGTAGATATTGCCTCGAATTTCATTCTGGTGCTTTTGTTAGCTAGAGGTTAGCAATGGAACATGGGACCGGCTACACTGCCACAATACAATAACCAACGAGAAATGGCAAGCATCAGTGAGAAATAAATAATATTCATTGCACAAAAGGTTGTATTTGTGACTCAGTAAACAAGTGAATAACGCTGTCGGGTTTGAAACCACAAGTGCTAGTTTCATGTCTTAGCGGTCTGGTTAATTGAAATTATACTATGAGGTTTTCATAAAGAAAGAAAACCAATGTGGCCAATCCCACTTTATTATTATCTTTATATGCGTGCTTGAACGATTTATTTTGGTTTGTTTTCAGTCACTAGTTGGAAATGCGATAACTTGAACATGGTCTCTTTTTTGAAGAAGTAGCTTCCATGAAGTCGCAAACTGTTTTTTACTCACTTTATTGCTTCATCTAGATTTTTGAAATATCATTTTGCAAGCTGCCAACACAGTTCCAAACTTATTTGATTACATCAAATCAAATTCTGATCTTGAAGTAGAAAAAAATTCATAAAAATTTCAACCTTACGTTTCAGCCTAATTCTTGATGTTTTTCTGTTTTTGCAAATTTGTGAACACAGGAAATAGGGTAATAGCTGTCATTCTCCAATTCTGAATCTTCTTACTGAACAGCTTTTTTATTTACAATGTTCGTATTTATATTGGGAAACCGAAATTCTAGAGAAAATGGGTCTTTATTTCCTGCTGTTTTCAGTTGATTCAATGTGTTTTAAAAAAACCACTGATAGTTAACCTATGCAAAATCGTATCTTTATCTGACTTGCCTACTCTGCCTAATAAAATCTAATGACTTCAAACTTTGCAGTACATAGCAAAATTAAACTAGACGTTCTCCTTAAATAACAATCTCTACTGTCTTACTACCACACATAGCACTTCCATTCAAAATGTAAGTACACCTAAAAGTTATGTACGATTATGAACTTCACCTGCTGAAAAAGTTGAAGTAACAGCACAAAAATATTTTAATAAAAATTGTTTTGAGAAATTACTGGCGCCACTTTATCCATCATTGTATTCAACAGTTTTTTTTCATTTATTTTGCTTTATTTCGAGTAAGGGACATGTTGAATCATATTTATTTTGATTTCACAGCGTCAAAGCCTTCCAATGTGAAAACACTATATGTGAAAATAATTTCTTATTTCCCTTTCAGAATTTCAGTTTAATGCCTGAAACAATAGATAGTTTAGCAAGACGACCAGGTGAAATAACAAAGTTTGTATTTGATATCCAAGTCCCAAAGTTTTCTAAACTACCAAATTGTTCTCTGACATTTAGTTCTGGCTCGAGGAGTACAGATAACGAATCACAGTATACAATTTTAAGTGTGGAATTCGATAACGGAAGGAATCTTCTTGCCTTGCAAACTGAAAAAGTCAAAGTTGTTTATGCATCCGAATTTTCAGATGGACAACAAGACTTACTGTCAGTCTATTTTGGAAATTTGGTTAACCTAGGTATGCGTATTTGCCATAATTTCATATGTTTTACATATCTTCCTGTGTGACAAATGATTGAAAACAATCGGTTGGAAGCCCTAAGTTAAGGTTAAGCGTTTGTTGACACTCGTCAGGAAGGTTACAGATATGCCGTGCTGACGCTTGCCAACTAGTAAGATATCTAGTCACAAGGCTTACTGTCAACTAACTCCAACCAAAGACCAAATATCAAAGTGCGCTATGATGGTGACCCTCGTAGCTTGGTGGCCAAGTTCAAAAATGGTCGATGTGAGCATGCTGTGCACAGAACCCTGTTTATAGCCTGTAGTGAATGGGATATGTCTAATACAATGGAGATATCACGTCAAGTACTAAAACGTTTAACCCACGAATATGACAAACATTAGTAACTCACATAGACAGGTGCAAATAATATATGGAGAGAAGGCGGAACGTGACTTTATTTCACCGTATCCCACATCATTTATTCCGAACTTACTCATGTTCCACTAGTTTCCGGTGTTCTTAGCTCAATAGTCTTAATTACCTTTCATTTTAACAACTTGTCTAATCCTATTACATAATACTTTGTCCATCTACTTTTAAGATAAATGGGGATTTTTAATTTACAAGTAGTATGCATTACTGTATAGTGCTCATTAGTGACTTGCTTCCAGACGGATATCATGAAGCTCCAATGAGAAGCCATGCCCTGTGGCGTCAAGCAGCGAAGCGGGTGCTAACTGATATCCTGAATTGACAGAAGTAGAAAATTGTGAACCACCGAAAACTGACCCAGTAGTTGAACGGTTGATGCGTTTTCCGTGAGACCTGAAGGTCCTGCGTTCGATCCCTAGCCAGGTCGTGGGTGCATACTGCTGAGCAGTCCCATACTAGGAAGAAACAGCTGTCGAGTGCTTCCAGATTTTCAATGGTTCCCCGACTGATGTCAGCTCATGATGAATACTACTTTATTGATGTATTATTTTCATCATCTTTACGCCCCCTTCTTTATATGACACAATCCATTTTTGTTATCATTTATACTTCAACTGTTATCAAAGTATATTTATCGTTATCGCTACTATAATCATTTTTATTAATTATGATATATTGTTTGATGTTCAAATATCCGTCTTTTCAAAACAGTGCAAAATATTTGCTTTGTTATTTGTTCTGATATACTAAGCTGGGATTACACAATTAAACATACACCTTTCCAAAATAGTTATTTGTTCTTTCTTACCCCTAATAAATCACAACCCCATTGTGGTTTTCATAGTCAAATTATATTTTCCCACCCTATTTTTGTTCCACCTTACTTGCACAACTGGAAAAGGTTTCTCTGACCAGTTTGCTAATTCACTCACCTACATTATATTGATCTTTGCTCCATCTCACGATGTTACTGGATGATAGTATCAGAAGTCGAAATTCAACCTGAAAACCTAATATCAGGTCCACACTCTTGCAAAGTATTTTTCTAGCAAGATCGGAACGTTGGGGAATAATGCAAAGCATTTGTTTATTTTGTTATTCTTTCTAATGTACTACGCCTGGATTACACATGTACGAATTCACCTGATATGATGGAAAAATAGATCTGTACGGGGTGATGATTAAAAGTAAAATGCGAATCTGGATTATGGCAGCAACCTCCAGGTTACCTTTGAGGAACTCTCCCATCCGTTCAATGAGATCGAGCTACTGACCACTTCTTAATTTCACTATTTTCTTCCTAAAATTGAATGGAAGGGAGATAGCCGGGATGTTAAACTGAATGTGCAGAAACATTTACCTAAATGACTTTTAAAATAATCGAATTCTTCAACGCCAATTGGTACAGATGGCATAAAAAAGGAAATATTTTGATCTGTCATACTGAACGGATTCTTTAAATATAAATTGCAATTAAAATCTTAAAAACGTTTTTCTATAACTGAAATAAGAACTAATGCCTAAAGAGTTCTACTTTTAAATAATCTAAGTCTTTTCATTCTTATTTAGTTACCCACTTAATAATATGTATATACAGGTTTATTGCAGCTGATGAAAAACCTGTGAAATTACAAAAACTTTAATATTCCTGTAAACTTTGACCTTACTGCCTTAGGCACATGCATTCCCAGCGAAAGAATAGAAAATCTTCCTACTAGTTCCCTTTATCCTTTCTCGATAGCGTTTCGTAAGAAAGGAATTTAATGTAACTTTTTGATTTATCCTAATAATTTTGCATAAGAAGGAATGATCTCCATCAAGCGATTTCATTACTTCTTAAAATATATTTGTTCTTTGATATTAAAACCCTAGAAAGTCATTTATTGCTAAGTTCCACTAGGAAGACGTTTACAGAACCTCAGTAGGTTATTTCACTTGAAAAAATAACAATTTACTGTAAAATCCTGCATCACATTTCCTTTAAATTTTCATACTTTAAAGGTAGTTTCGGTGGACGGTATTCAACATCCTTCAAGGTCACCATAAAGTTGCGTATTTCAGACAGTAAAAGCGTAATAGATGGGTCCACATTAAAGTTCGAAATGTTGGCAAAATTCGGAAATATGATCGAGACTTGTGAAGTCTTTCAGCCAATCAGAATAGATGGCAAAGAAAGGCCACTTATTCTGATGGATTTACAAGAAGTTGACAAACACAAACAAATGTATGTTTGCTATTTGAATGATCATTTGTAACACTTTATGACTATGGCATTTATGTATGAATATTTTAATTCCATTTTTACATAACTTCTAGCGCAGGAATAAGGGAACCTATTGTGGTAAATTTCCCAACGTGAGGCTGCAATATCAAATTGCTTTCTAAGAAATCTTCAAACGGTTATAAGTTTCTTTATAAAACAGTCCTACAACAGCGTTCCTGAAAATTAATCTATGTCATTATTCAAAAATATTCGGCATCTCATAGTTTCAAGGTGCGAAATATGTGCTCAGTCGTGCGCCATCGCATTCACCAAATCAATTTTCCAGTGACTAACATGGTTTCAACGAGTGTGTAAACAATATTCAGATTGATGAACACTTTTAATGTAGGGGAAGCATATGAATTTAAACTACAGGAATTTGAAAATTTAGGATATGTTATGAAGGGTGAGAATCCTCAGTTAAATAATGGATGAAAACGTTTTTAGTGAGTCATAGAACAATAACATAGCAGAGACGGGAATTTTCCTCCTGGACCTTACTTACTAAACATGTAAAATCATATTACTAAGTACTGCTGACAAAAAGCAGTCTAATGATATTTAGTGGGGTCACGTTATTAGAATGTTTGACAGCAGGATAAGAAATTGTGTATAAAGACAAGAGAAGTTGATTGCTGCAAATATATTGTGTCTTATGAGTGCACGTCATGCTTATGAAGGCAGACACCAATCTTAATTCAGCGATATGTAAATGGGCAGGTCTTCATCGATGAAATAATTGACTTCCTTCGGTCCAGATTTCACTAGATAAGGGAAGGTTCAATAATAGAACTGCAGATATTCTTTCTCCGTTAGACACTGTTTTAAAATACGTTTACGGACTTCACGGTATAAGTTACTCTAGCGAAACAAGTAAACTGACAGACGCACAGTGAGGTGAGAAAAAAGGTGTTCTATTCCGAACATATCCATGGACTTAATACGTAGTAGAAAATGTGATTCTCAAGGCATCTGCATGAAACTTCCTAATCAAAAATTTTGAAATACGGCCTTTGAGGATTTCACCCTCAATATGGCATTTGAATTTCAGGCTCTTATTCAGGGTTTTCTCTAAGAAATTCATGACCCTTACCGTTGTGGATGCTCTTTCATGCTAGAGTCAAGGAATCTAGGTGGATATTTGTTTTCCGGAAGGATGTTACGCAGAAATTCTGACACACTGTCTGGTTTATCTTTAGAACAGATTACCCAAATCCATGAACATAAATACACAATGTTTTGTTGCTTTTTAAAAAATCAGCAATTGAGAAGACGATAAACTTTCCAGACCACACCAGTTTTTGCACTCTGACATCTGGATATACCTGTCAGGTCTTCTTGTTAGTAGCATGTCCAGGAAAGGACTGTCGAATTTACCCCACATTCTGTAGGAATCTTAAGGACAAATGAAGAGGAGTGGGGCTGAAACAGTAGAGAATATTTACAGCTCAGGTGGAGGACTGAAACTGTTCATCACATGTGATGAAAACGTCATAAGTGTACCTCATTTAGGAATGAAGTTGACGGAAAAATGGATTAAAAGTATCGTTTATGAGATAGGCCATGAAACACAGCTAGAAGGGAACCCATAAGGGACCCTACTGCCTCATCATCTTTCTGTTTATTGAAATTTTTGTTGAACTTAAGATTAAAGTTGCATGCGAGAGCAGTTTCTTCTAGTAGTTGGCAGGTATTGCAGTGTCGTAATCCTTGGATCTAATGTGGTCATATTTGAAGCGGAAAGTATCAAATTAGGGAACGTTTCTGAAAGAAGAACTAGAGCCTATAAAAAGCTTTTTTGAGCGCACTAACATTTGTCACCGATTAGATGAAATCACAGTTATCCCTTAGACTATATTTTGCGACAACCTGATTGATTAAAGATGGGATGCTATTTCCTTTAATCCCAGTAAACACGATTTTACAGCATTAGTACCGAAGTCACTGAAAGAAAAATATTTTTCTCCTTTATATCCTTTTTGGATTAAATTATTATTGCATCAACTATAAAATGTGTTAAGTGGTGACTTTTTAAAAACGAGGCGCGTGCATTAAAATTTGTGTAAGCCGGATGAGCACCAAAGAGATTGTGCTGTTATCATTTAGTCTTCCTCTTTTAACGCTTCTTCATAATTTTTCCAGTTTTTCAACAACTCTGTACATCAATGTTGTTGATATAATGATACAATATATCATCAATATACAATTCAAACACAGGTAGTATAGAGGTATCCGTGTAGGAGCCCATGTGCCAAAAGAGACCGATCAACTCGGTCCGCTCTTCGACGGGACACGTCGCACGAGGAGCGGCTATCGCCACTCGGTAGTTCAGTAGATAACGCCGTGTTGTTAGAAGCGGTCGGTCCTGAGTTCGAGTCCCAGCGGGAACCACATCACTCACTGGGAGGCTGGTATATCCAGCCCATAAATCCCGAGCAGAATGAAACCTGAGTCCTGGATTCCACTGTTGGCTACTATCCGTCGCTAACTATGGACATTATTATTAGAATACACCTGTCCATCTTAAAATTATAACGGAGTTCAGTGTTTGCCTTGAGTGACATTCAAATTTCTGTTGCTTTGATTGCTCCTGTTTTTTCAGTTTTTATTGATTAAATTGATTTTCACATCTCCCCAGTTAGTTAGGTTATTTGTTTCATTCCTGCCTATAGTTATTCCCACAATGACCTACTAACTTTGAGTTTGAAGATGAAAATGGATTCGAGTTCCTCTGTGGAATGTTTCAGGCAAACGCTAAATATCTATGCTGGAATGAATGTAAGATTAGTAGAAATTTCGAATTTGGAGCAGAATGTATCAATTAAGTACCATGCAGTGCAGGTCGCAAATACCTCCGGATTATTTCAGTTCAAAGTAGGTTTGAATAATTGTTGTTCTTTTTACTTGCTCCAGTTTTTTGCAGGCACTTGAAATGTAAATAAATAAGAGTTGTTCTACTTAAAACTGGTACTTTAACAAGAACATCACAAATATATATCTTCGTACCTAGAAACAATCCACTTCAGTTGGTTCATATGATTAGTCTCAGTATCTTAGTATAATGTTAGGACCTATCAACGCTTTCACCATTGTTTATTTCGTCAATGAGTTACACATGGTGTTGTACCCAGAGGGTCTAAGCAGTGCTATCCATTTTAAGAAACCGAGTAGATTGAAATAAAAATACGTGATTTACTAGTGTTCATCATAAGGTTTTCTTCTTTCCAATAAAATGGGTGAAGAGTAGCTTGAAACAATTTCGTTTTTCATACAACGAGCTTACGTAATAGCTTGAAAATATTGACCCATTGCATGATATGTTAACATACTGTTTTTATAATCAAATAAATTGGTCAGTGAGTTGCTATTAGGTGACTAATCCCATCTGATTAAAGTAGTATGCACCTATCTGTGACTGGTACTTATCCAAAGTTCACTTCAATATCTCGACTTTGAAGCAGAGACACATAATTTCTCCGCAAAGGCTTGTTGATAGTTGAACTTAATTGGTGTGTCAAAAAGCGTGTTTGTAAATATACCTGTTAGTGTAGAGCAACCAGATCAGGTGTAGTAGGAAGAAACCAAAAACTATGTACTCACAAACTATTTATATAGAATTCCGTAAACAATTTTCGGAGACTATGACATAAAACATCATAATAGTGAATTTAAATTGGATAATGACTTTCATCTAGTTATTCCCGTTATGTATACGACGATAGGAAAGGGAGAAGTTTGGGTCCCCACACGTTTAAATCATAGAAATCAAAACGCGCTGAAATTCTCAAAACGTGTAGAGTTTGCCTACTGTGTAGAAATAATTTAGAACTAGACAAACTACTGATAACCAATAAAAATGTGCGGTAAAACGTAATTTGTCCTAGATAAATATGCACATGACTTCGATTGGGATAATGTAAGGATTATGAAGTAACAGCTTCCAAGGAACATCATACTAACCCTAAAATTTCAAGACTTTTGTCAGCTCATCTACAGTTCTGAGGTACAACCAATCTTTATTTTGATGGTGTAGTGAATACGAAATATCATTAATCGCCAAAATAACGGAAATGCCAGAGGGATAGTGTCGTCAGGAGTTCACAAACGCCACCTAGTTATGACATTCTCGTTCGTTAGGGAAAGTGAATTCATTAATTTTAGGAAATGAAATCACTAGGTGACGAGTGAAGGTGACGTCATCATCTGACAGACCATGTCTACCGCAGTTAGTCAAAGTGATGAAATAAAACTACTTCATTTTTGTGTTAAGTCAGAAGACTGTTCCAAATTCCAAACCAAGCTTTGCAGACTATTTACCCCTACTTCAAGAATGAAACTGAGCTAAATACATACGCATAGCTAGAGCAAGGTTTGCATTTAAATGTTTTATTGGTGAACTTTTTAAAAAATCAGAAGGAATGAAAAATAATGTCACTAGATGTTTTTAACCATGAAATATTAATTTTACATTGTTTACTCCGTTATTTTTTGAGCAAACTTCATTGTTTAAAATCAGATCAAGGTAATCACAGAAATGCTTGTTTTCGTTTATGCAATCCACTTACTTTCCACCCTCTGATACAGAAATAGAAGTGCGTTAACGAGGCCAGAAATTCGTGTGGCCACTTAGTACTTTCATGACTAATAAATTGCGATCAAAACATCATTGTATAAAACATTCTGATCACTGTGCTACTATATCTGACAAAATTATTTTATATGGAATTATACTAATCCATAGTTGCTAAAATCTACCCTTACACTGATATTACATATCCACGTAATAGTGTTAAACTGACCGATAAACTGTCTAGAACCACAAGTGGAAACTTTGCAGGGAATTGGTGCGTTTAACGAACCCATCATTTTATACAAATATCTTAACATTTTCTTCATCAACTGTCAGTGTTTTGACAGTTTATCTTATTTGCTTGTGAGTGGACAAAGACCGGATTTAGAATAGTTGACTGTAACTCATTAGATTAGTCAGGGGATATGAACTGCTTTTTCTGTCTGTGTAGTAACTCATGGACTAAGTTACTTCAGCCACCAACGGATGTATCACTAAAACGTTAGTTGTCATGACTTCTAAAGTGAAAATAAGTATTCATTGGCAGTTTGTTGTGTAACGGTTAGTGGGGATTTATTTATTGACTTCAGATTTATATTCATTATGAATTGAAAGAAGTAGGAAGTATGGACCATTAAATTCTGACCCAGTGGGTCAATTGCAACGTGCTGGCCACGGAACCTGAAGGTTCTAGGCTCGATCTCTGGAGAGGTCATGAGTACGCACTGCTGAAAAGCCTCATGCTAGGGTCAAACGGATTTCCAGTGTTTCTCTTCATGATGTCCTTTCATCAAGAATACCAATCTGAAACTTCATTTTTGTTTCTGTAAGAATTTTAACAGTTTCTAGAGATTTCTCATAACATACTTAAAAAAATTATTTCAGAGTTATTTTGGTGACTACCAAATTTGTCATTTTTTTATATATTCGAAACTCAACTAAGGATTATATGGTTAACAGAGGGTGAAGTATTATATCACTCTAATTAAGTAGGAAAAAGTGTCGTTAGAACAAATAGGAAGGCAGCCGATTGGTCAATGTTTTCCTTGTAACATGTAGGCTAAACATTCGTTATTAACATGGGCTGGAAATAGTGTCACTAACGTTTTACTGGTCCCTTATTAACTTTAAGAGATAGTGTCATTACTATTTTAGTAGTTCATCATCAACCTGATAACCAATCTTGTCTTCCTGGTATTGTTTTCTGAATCTTTCAGTAATGTAGGAAAAGTATTTCGATGATCAGTATTTCTTTTCATGTACTGAAGTGTTGTGCATGAATAACGACACTTCGTAGTTCATCAATTATTAGAGATACCTAATCGAGTATTATTTGGTAATTTCACTTGTTTAGTGTATTTATTATTTTGATTTTTCAAGGAAATAATTCATCAAACGTTTTCAAATTTTAGTTACTGGTGATGTAACTTTAGTGCGGAACTCTTCCGATACTCCACATATTTTATGACACCTTAGACTTGCTCGGAATATGAACTATGGTCACCCATTTCAGAACGTAAAAATAACTTTCGACTATCCATACATCCCGTAAAATATCCTTGAGATCACCAACAAGGATTTCATTAAAAGTAATTCATTAGGGTCAATCACTGGAACTGCAGTAAACTTACAGAAAACGAAAAGTCTTTGCAGTGACTTTGTATTGACACATGGTGAATGGTGTTTACAGGGACTCATACTGTAGCAATACAAGGGCTCCCATAGTCCTCCAAAAATAATTTATTTTATTTCATTTTAAATAGGGAGATTCATTTCGCTTTGGCAACCAATTTTCACTTAGCATGTATGTCTACTTTAAAGACAAAATAATTATCCCACCGAAAATCACTACAGCGAAATTTACTTTAGTCACAGAACTTGTCTGTGTCTCTACTCAAAGACCAAATCAAGTAAACTCACATATCAGCAAGTTCTTGACCAAGGTAACTGTCACTGTTTCAAACACAAACTCAACCAGTAAGTTTGAACCTGTTTCTGAAAGTTTATTGAATCCTATTTAGAATAAAATTCTATTGGCAAATATTTGGAATAAATTAAGTATATTACTCAGGTCACAACCACCCAGTAAGATGCAAAATGTTTTGGTGAGGATACTTTTAAAAATGCACATAAAAGATTTGTTCACATAAAAGGCTTGAGAAAGAATCTACCGTTATCCAAAAGCAGATAAGATAAATGTCTCACTTTCTATGGTTTTAGCTAAACAAAATTGATGTCAGATTCTATCTATGTTGAAGTACTTCCGTCGAAGTAGCTAGTGTGTAGATGGTTTTCATACACTTAGTCTGCAAGTTGGTTGTAAATGTTATGTAACTTGTTTTGAATGATGTTATTGTTGCATTTGTATTCAAAAGTTACCAGCCATTATTACCAAAAATTAAACAGATGGAAAACGAGATACCAGTTTCCCGGTGTGCTCTGCTTTTCTCGGATTGATTGAGAAGAAATCAGTACGATTCAGCCAAGGGTCTTGTGTTTACACATTTCCATGTCGTTAAACTGTTTCGTCAGATAGAACAACCAGATTCGCAGTTACCTATTTATTGCTTTCTCATTCAGATTTGTGGTGAAAATGTTCCAAACAGACACCCTCTTAAAAAATAAGATTTTTTCGCACTGTGCTTGTATGATGCAGCATAACAAAGAAGGACCAAAAACATGTCTTCCATGATGTGAATGGTTGAAGCAATTTCATTTACCGTAGTTCTAAATTTAAACAAAGTAAATACTTCACTTAAGGTTTTTTCGTATTTTGAGGAATGGATGGATTTTCCGCAACGTGTACATGATCAGCATTGTGGGTCATATTTAAATGTCTACGAGTGATACTTACGAGCTTCTTGCTATCTATTTTAAAGTTTTGAAACTAATGCTAAATGAAAAGATATGATAACGAAGCTTTATAGTCGTTCCTCTTACTGTTACTGAAATACCCTTATATGAGAAAAATAATAACACAGAATCCTATTTTATTTATGAACTAGAACTGTAATACTCCGATTGCTGCCTATAAATATAGTCAAAACAGCCCAGTTTCATTGGGAAAGATGGAACAGCATATACAAAATCATGCAATCCAGGGTCAATGAAAGTAAGCCACTAAAGAAGGTATAGTGAAATCGCATTTCAGAAAAAATTCCACTTATACACAAATCCTGTAAAAGCTACTGTTTAACAAAACGGAAAGTAGATATATGATAACGTTAAAACATCACCGCTGAATTGGAAATATTTCAGCTATTTTAGGGTTGTTACCTAACTATGGTATTGTTTGCGGCTAGGGCTTGCTGCTTGACTTTCAGTCAGTTGCTCATGGTTTTGAACACCATTCTGCTTGCCGAGTTTTCGGTAGCCAAACAGCACCATTCGATCTCACACAATATGGCTTGACCATCACACTGCAAAAACCTGCATAAGCTTGATGAGTGCATTCCGATTCTTATGGTGTTGTGTTCGTTTGTGTAGACTTTTTGCCAGCATTATGGCACTTTACTGATCATACGAATCTGATATAGTATAAAAAGTATAAATTAGGAGCCTGAGATCAATATCATTTAGTGAATGATCAGCGAATACTAGTGATTTACTGCTCGACTGCATACATGAACAATCAGCCATATATCAAAACTATACATTCTCCCCAGTTGCCTACTCTAGTACCACTAAACATTAAGAGTCATAAAAACAAAAAGCATAATAAGTGTTTTCCATTTTGAGCATAGGAGTTTACTTATTACAATGAAATCTTTCTTTTATTGACAGACTTAACGACACCTCATTGTGATAACGTTGTGGAACTCACAGGAAAGCACTCTTTCCATAACTGTAATTTAAATGGATTCCCGTTATATCAAGCCAACCTTTCTGCGTTTTCAAAAACAGATCTTCGACATCTGTCTGAAACCATGTTTTTTGCACAGTTAACGCACATCACTCGAATTACTCTTATTTTATTAAATTCAGTAAATAAAGTAAAAAGGTGGACATTTTTTCAACTGATGATGGAATAACATTCAAACATGTTTTAACCGTAAGTACCTTGTCTAGCCATTTATTTTAAAGTAGATATTTTTTACTCTTTCACTGCCATTAACCTCTTTCAGTACTTGCCTAGACATGATGGATGAATACAAGCTTAAAGTTATTCCCAAGCGCCGATAACACACTACAGATCTTCACTAACCTGAAGTAGCATCACTCATTGTCATATCCAATGTAGCATAATCATAAGATGTTTCAGCCTACAAGATCAAGAAACGTTAACAGTCTTCAGCAATACTTTGTGGAGTTCACTGTGATAAGCGTTACCGAGTACAGTTGTTTCGTGATAAAAAAAATGTAGCAATGGTCCTGCGAAATCTGAAATATCAAATAGCAACTAGAATACTGTTAAATAAATGTCCCCTAAAATATAATACGATCTTTGTAGGTCTCACTGTTTAGTATCTCCCTTGTTCAGATTGACAACTAACATTTCTACTGGGTAATGACTGCAGGTGAGATGAAAATCTGGACCGCGGCCGGATTCAAACCTATGACTACCACTATCATTTCCCGTAGACCCATCTTCGTATCCGATCATTCAAAGATGAATATACATTTTGAGCGATCAGGTAAACTTTACTTTCATTTAAAAGAATTGTAAGTTGCTACGTAGACTAAGCTTTGACTAGTAAAGTTAATAGTTTCAACTTATCCTATAAATTGTAGACAAACAGCAGTAACCACTATGAAAATATGAACGTCATTAATTCATTCTGATATTCAAAGTGTGAATCAACTTATCTTTCAAGAGAAGATGTAGAATAGCTTATTTATAACAATGGCATTTTACGTTTCCTATACTTATTACTTAGTACAGTAGTATAATTAATATCCAACGAAGCTATCCACCACACCTCATATTATCTCGTAGTAACAGTGATAACAACAGTAATGACGTTAAACCTAATAGCGTCAAAGTTGTATACCCGTCATGTTAAGGCATTTTCTAGTGTCAGAAATTATTTGATAACTAAATAAATGACACAGCAGACTTAATTTTACAAACTTAGCTTATACCTTAACAAATTTTACTTTTACTTTTTTCTTAATTACACTTGTAATTTAGATGGTGAATGAAACAGATCTGGAGATAGAAAAAAAATTTTTTAAACCATTTCTAAGTACAAGAGGCTTACATTTTGTTGTTACTGAAGTTGAAAGTTTATTACAAGAAGTCAATTTCACGATCAGAATATACGGCTGTAAGGCTACGTCGGACCCACTAACTTTCGGTAAGTTGACAATCTAATTTATGAAATCATGAGACATAATATAACTCACCATCTGCTTGTAGATTGCAATTTAAATCTAATTTAGGATTTTTTAAGGATTGATTGCAATCAAAGAATATTTGATGCATAACACAAGAAAAATACCACAGATAGCTAATCTCGTCCTCCACAGTTGTTACACACGTTTGAACTCAGGCTTTTCCTAGCTAAGTTTACAGTAATACACTATTTCTGCGAGTTCCGTTACCACTCAATCCTCACAGTGATGACAACTTTAATTGATAGTTCTATGCATGACCGCTATCACTGAGCAATACTGATTCATCAGTCGATGATGAGAGGCAAGTACCCTAAGTCTAGTCAGATGACTCTTTAGACTAACTCGACAACAGTTGAAATAATCACCTAGATTTCCTTATTTTAGGAAAATTTATCTTTCTAACCAAAACAAAGAAATACAAATGAGCATTTAGTCCGTTGCTAGGAGTACCCTAAAAGACACTAGTCTAGTCGAATTTCAGCATAATGAAATGTGAGTAATTCCAACCAACCTCAGTAGGACCTGAACTCATTAAAAATCAAAAAGTATTCGTTAAGGTCAAAAGCTCAAATGTCTCTAAAGTCTGCCCTAACAACTACTGAACTAACCCACCAGGTTGTGATATTTCGCCCTAGTAAGATAGTTTGCCTTTATACAAAGAACTGTAATTGACAATTTCAAAAGTTTCTAGGGTGGCCTTAACAATTACTTCAAAAACTCAATAGCCGACTTAAGTTCATCATTTACTTGTTTTAGTATAGCTTCAGACCTTGAACTGACTTTAAATGGAGTCCTACAAAATGTTTTTACCTATCTTTATCTTTATCCATGAAAATCTGTCTCTCTAACCGAAATATCGAACCGGAACAATAATTATGTGAATAGCTGGGGTAACCTCTGTCACTCTTTCACAATAACGTGAGTGTGTAGAGAAAGCGATTTATCTGGGTAACGTAAATTCCAGTGTTTTTTCAAATGCTAATGAAGGCCAACCTAGCACCGACAGATATAACCCATCAGGTTTCTTCATTTTGGCTGGAAAGGCAGATTTTCAGTTGACTTTAAAGATCACCCTAACAAACACTGTGATAACCAGTCAGACTTCTCCACCTTAAGGAAATCTATCTTTCCAGTCGAAATGAAGAAACTTAATTATTTTTTTCGATCATTGCTAGGGTGACCTTTGGAGCTGCCCCAGATTTTCATAAACGTGGAAGTTTAATTGGTTATGCCACTTGTTTCTAGAAAAACTTTTACTGATAGTTTCGCAAGATAGTCTGGTCAAATTTGCCGAGAAGTAATTGAAGTCAAGTAGTGTTATTCCTAAGGGAGAGTTGACTTTGTGTCCTTCATTCCTTGTCAGATTCTGAAAAGATTTCAATCCTTTTTCACCATGGTGATTTCCTATAACTGCAAAATCATATCCATAAGGAGAAATACTCAATCAGTAACATACGATTCAAATAAATACGTATCTCACAAGCTTGAGTTGTACGAAGAAAAGTGGAGTGTAGTGTAAGAAGTTTTGAGAATCCGGCAATCAAGCCACACCAGCTGATGCAAAGAAGAATGGAATTACTGCGAGTCTTAACATGTCTTCTAACAAAGCATTTTACTTATGACCAGTAAGACTACATTATGGTGACAATATGGGTTTTCTCTAAATTTTAAGGACTGAAATTTCATTTTATACTCCATTTATACATGCTTATTTATATATATCGATAGACTAAACTCGAAAATGCCATTTTACCATTCGAAATTATTGCTAATTTTCATTAATGTGGAACATAGATAAATACTACAGCAAAAAGTACCACCGCTTGTGTAGTGTAGGTGACCTACACATTCTAAAAATAGATTCACCGACAAAATTTGCTCATACTAAAATGTTTCTTCTTCCAAAGAAGCTGGTTCCAGTAAAAATAAAATCGGTTTCCGGACAGCCAAAGAGCAAAATGACTACCGATAGTTTAAAGAAAAAGATGGAAATTAGTTCATGATTTGTCAAAGAAACTGACATTTTTTTATTACAATCAAAGACCTTACAAGTAAAAAGTAAATATTAATAATGATGATACTCAGAAAGAAAGTTCTAAAGTCCCTACAAAATGGACGCCAACCGATAAATTGGACATAGATCAGTATTGTTTTTTACAGAAGTGGGTTGTTTTTATGAAACTTCTGTACTTCAGATAACCTTCATAATAAATAGTAAGTCTAGTTCAAAATGAAAGTTTATCCCATCACAACGAAAACTTTATGGAGCCTTTCATGAGAGGCAAGAATCCAAGATGGTAATAAGATCAATACAACTGACCAATGAGATAGTTGCATGCAGAATAATATAGTATGTGCAGGAAAAATGATGTTTTATGCACTTAAATTCGACGGCAAAGGAATATAAGCTACGAATACAAAAGTCTCTAAATCAAAACAGGCGGCAAGAATGGGGAAATGTATTAGCAATAATAATATATTCCATAGAAAAGGAGGATGATTTCAAATTTTTAGGCAAATGAATTCCTCTAAACACTTTTAGTCTTGTACGATGAAAGATTGCATGTTAAATCCCAGAACTTGCAGGATAACTTCAACAGCTTATGTTGAAGACACGCAATTCCGCTGACGTCCGTAGGACATTAGAGATCAATCAGTGATTAAATTGCAAAACAGTAGTTTTTACCAAGAATAGTGCTTAAAACAACATCCTTCACAAACTTCGATTAAACAATGCTTCCCCATTTTCCTATATTTGCGGATATATTTTTAGCCCTTTTAGAGAATGCTAAGCATAGTGCCATCAAAACACAAACTTGTATCTGAGATAGATAGATGACATGTTCATCATATGTGAATCCACTCATGTCTTTCAATTCAGTTAATTTAGAGGTGAAATTCAAATGTGAACACGAACCTTAGATGGAGTAAATTCTTAACTTGGAATAGTAAAATAAATGATGTTTCGATTGCACATCGAGTTTACCATTGCCCCGCCTTAAACAGTTATTAGTTGTGATTTAATTTTCTTTTCTCATCGCTTATAAAAGAATTTCTAGTCAAAACTTTGTTTTCAAGGGCAAGCAGATTATTTTTCTAAGACGTAATCGAAAATGAATTAGAAAATGTTCGAAAAACTTTGTTGGATAATGGATAATTCATGAAGTTTATCAAGAAATACTTTGAATCCAAAAACAAGAAGGTGAATGAAGCAACTACACAGCAAAAGAATGTGTTCATTAGACCACCATCTGAGGTCAATAAATTAAGTTCACAAAATAACTGCTGGCTGAATATGTGCGTTGCATTAACTTATCCAGCTGCAGTGTTAACAGTTGCCTATAACACTATGAACAAGCTCCGACAAACTAATTTAGGTGTGAGATACCCTCATGCTACCTCTAGTTGTATCTATTTATTTACTCGTATTTACAGTAGCCTGTATGTTAGGATAGAGAGAGATTTGAATAACAGAATCTCTGAAGACGGAGAGCTTATCATCTATATGGTGCACGTCAGTAGCTTTTTGAAAAATTGACAGACTTCGAAAAACTTCTAAACAGTGCTTCATGGTGACTCATCTACGCGTGACCTAACGAATATGAGTTAGAATCCTGAAGAAGTCATCAGTGTGCACCTCTAAGAAGTCACAAAGTAGGTAATCTCGTAGTGTCCCATGTACTCCATTTGAAAAGTTCTTTACGCTTCACACATTGACTAGATAATAGGTTGAAATCGGAGTCAACATCTCTTGAAAATCAGACCCCTACTATTATCTTCGATTATGTGATTTCAACTATGTCTCTTTATAAGCTTGTTTGAGACTATCTGATTATGCGTTGAAACTGTTTTTTGTCTAAACCACTGAGATGTACAAAAAAGTAGTTTTGGTCTCGTATCTACATGCTTATATTTGTGGTTTGTTAAGAATAAAAGACTAGACTCACAGTCTGTAGGATGGCTTTATTGTTTTTCTATTGTTTCAGATTCTTGTTTGAAGAAATTTGTACCACTAAATTCTGAAGGCAAATCATTTATGTCTATTTTGTCAACAAGAGAATTTCTTTTTCATTGTGGGATGTCATCAGTCAGTATTGGAAAAGTAGCAGCTGAGAAACGTTGTTTCATGACAACAAGTTCAGTACCGTTGAAATGGACAGGTAGATAATTTGTTTTCTATTTTATTCAACCTAAAATTATATTTGAATTTACGTTACATTCATAATTCTGCTATTTTTCTCTAGACGCAGGACCAAAGATATCGGAAATTATTATGCTATTGCAGCCAAGTAATATTGTTGTTGGCAGAAGTGGTAGGGATAAAAGCATACTGATAAGCAAAGATATGGGAAAGTCATGGTTAGTAGTCAATTATTTGGCACTAAAGGAACTGATGTCAGAATCATCGAATATAATTCATTCCAACACAATGTCGCAGTCCCCTACAGAGAACAAAAATGATACTGATATCACAAGAATGATATGTGATCCAAAAGAAACTAGTGAGTGGAAATGTAAGTTAGATTTGTAAACGTATCTTTTGTATCACTTAGAAATCTGGATAATTTCTCTTACTGAAGTTAGAAAAGTGTTTAGAGACGCATTTAATATTCCTCTTTTTCAGTTAATCAGTTGAAAAGATCATAAAAATCTACAGGATTATCTTTCCGTTAAGAACCATGTATTCCATAGGTTAGAACAAATACCAAGAAATATCTGCTCGAGTTAATAGTCATAGCTGTGTGCAGAGTTATCGAACGAAGAAATCAAGCTGACAACAAATAAACATAACTATAATGAAAAGGATTCAAAGTAATAAGTATAAGCATATCGCTTAAATCAAGTGAAATTTATTCAGCTTATGGATAAATTTGTCCCCCTTGATTAAAAAATTCGTTTTTGCATTATCAGTTTTCTAACGTTAATTGATTGCATGAATTAACCTTCACGACATGAATTTCACATAGTGGCGTTCCTTCGAATAGCCAAAACTGTTACTATGGTTGACATGATCATTAGTGCTAGAGCTGTACTGTTATTGTTAAATAATGCAAAAATGAATCATCTGTTTGAGAAAAGTGGTTGAATAATATAGATAACGTGAGACATTGGTAAAAGGACTTGATATGTAACACATTCGAAGCCCTTAAATTTGGAGGACTTGTAGACATAACTGAGGTGTTAAGCCGTCAGCACTTAATACTTACCCTTGATTCACACAGTCTTCAGAAAAATATTCAGCAAATAGGTTCAGTTTATTCAGAAACGTTAAATTTCCAGCATTTTAACAGTTTCCTTTACTTCCTCCTATCATACTGGACGATATGCTGCTATTCACTTAAGACTGTTGTCTTTTAAACACAGCGGGTGACGTAATCTATGTTGACTTCTGTGATTTTCAAAGTTTGGTAGGTATAAACGTGAGTCGTATTGTATTGCTAACTGCATATACTAATCAACAATAAATTAGAACAAGTGGATTATTCTAACCATCAAATATTCAGGTATACAGATCTTATTCTTAAATTCGCCTTAAATCAAAAATGTGTTACAATAAACCAATTTCAAGGACAAAATCAGTATTATGATCAGTGACATGACTGTTTTTTCATTTATAGTTTGCTTCAACAGCATTTCGCGTGGGAATAAACTGATCGCTGACTGGAATGATCGATTTTCCACTCCTTTGTCTCAAACAGCCAAAAAAAACAGTCTATTATAGTTTAAACAGAAACATTTGTAAAATTCGTCCAATTTATTTTCATTATTCTTACTTAAAATTCTATGAATGTTTATTCTCATATGTTAACCGATTCATTTAGATAATCATTTTAAATTTGTGTCATATAAGAATTGATCTTTCCTTGTGTAATTGGGATTATAGTTTATATGAAAATAGTAAACAAAGAATAAATTCACTATATTGTTGATAACGGTGATGACTACAATTCGGAAAGCCTTTTGGTCTCGATAAGTTTCCAAGTAGTAACCATCGTATTATTAATTTATTTGCACTTCGTTGTGGTCATTGTTACGATAATTATGACTTAGAGTCAAACACAAGTCGCTGAAAGTTGAAATAAGACGCTAAATAGTTTCACTGCAGTAATTGTAGCTAAAAGACTTAATTTCATCGACAAAGTCGTTGATTTACATACTACTATAAAGGCTTACCTACATAAATTGTGCTCATCAAATAAATGCGGAAATCAAAAATGTAATTCATATAGTTAGATAAATTAGATGTTTGTTAATGAACGAAATTTGGAGGATATGGATCTAATGCACCTGCAAAGGCCAAGAATATGAACGTCATTAAATACCCAATAGTGACAAAATGTGGGTTACTTTTTTAAATATGCAAGTTTACAATCCAGAAATAAGAAAATGACTGAACGATAGTAGTTTTTCACGGCTTGTATTTCGGTTGATGAGGAATTTCGGTTTTCAACCCCATTAGCAGCAGCATAAAAATAAGCAAATCAAAACTTCATACACATATTGTTTTGCGTATAAGTATTATGTACATCTAATGAAATATTAAATTCACAGATCTAAATTTCAGTGTTTCAAATGTCTAACGAATTCACTCCCTTTTCGGATTAAGTCGTCTGACTTCTACCATTCTACACTGGTTTCCATGATGTCTTTCGTAATATATTTGCACAGTGTAAATGTTTCTCGAGATTTCTTTGAGTGACTGAACAAGAAAACAGGTTTATTCTTTCAGTCATTCATTTATGTTCAAAATAATAGCATTGGTTGGCTTCTCATAGGAGGACTAATCTATGCAAGTTATCCATGCTAGTCGGAAACATTGTGACAATAGAGGGTTGGAAAATTAGGAAAATGACGACGTTTTTTACAGATGACGAAGTTTTCATTCATGCTAAATCAAGTCAATTGAAATAAAATGAAAATAACATTTAATTGGGTTTAAAATGCTTATAACTAAAGTTACTATTGAGATAATTTATCAAGGATGATAGGAAAGAACTTATTCAAAAAGAACTCGGAAACCAAATCATTTATACTGACTAAATTCTTTAGTGTTCTTTTATCTTATGGGCGAATCAGAATAAGTAAAATGTGACCCGATCAGCTACAATATCGTAGCATACTTTAGAGTTATGAACAATCTGTGTTTATGCCTCACCAAATCAAAAGACCTGCTTTTCCACCTAGAACAACAGAACGTTTTCGATAACTTAGACTGAAGTGAATGTGGAGCTGCCAGATTAGAAACGTATCATGTCTATTACATGCATGCCGAACCAAAGTTTCAAACAGCAACTAAGAAATGAACGAGAAAACTTGAAAAAATGCCCAGTCGTAGCTTTAAATATATGCTTTGTGTTGACAGACACTAGTAAAAACTACTTTGTCGCACTGGTTTGTGCTATTTGTTTCGATCATATTCAGCTATTCGAAGACAGTATTTTTACTTTCTTTTGGTTTTTCCGGTTACCTATCCTTTTATTGCGTATTGATATTTGAATAAAAACTTTGCTCTTCCTTCTTATAATTCCCTACCTATAAAATATGAAATAAGCTTCCATGACTAATTTGTTAAGTCTTTCATTTAAACCATATTGGTATTCATCCTCGTTGAGGTTTCAGCTGTATGTCAAAAACGTCACTGTCATCATGAAAGTGAATAGTTAAGCTGAGAGCTCAATATCCCACTCAAGCTCTCTAGAGTCTCATTTGGTGAGGTCAGAAAGTTGAGAAAAAGCACCAAATATTTGTTTATTTTACTTGTTGTTATATACTACTTCAGGATAATACAAGTCAAATACACTTTATATACTATTTCAAATACTTTGATACAGATAGTGAAATCCATCTAAACTCATGTAATTGCCATTTCTTCCGGCCATTATATGAATCCTGCTGCCAAATATTCCAAAGGCTATTCCAAGTGTTTAACAAAGCAGAGTAGCTGACTTTCCGATTACATATTATCGGTTACTGAACAAAAAATTGTCACAAGTGCATTAACTCTGTATCAATTACCTAGCTCTGTAATTAAATAAACAGACCGCAATAGACGTATAGTATAGTTTTGAATTTCAAATGGTTACTACCTAGTGCTTGTCGATTAAATTCTTTGAGATGAACTTCCCTGAAGTTCAGTGATAAGCCATGATCTCTGTGGCCAAACAAGTTACAAGTATGAATTCACATCCACCGATAGCATTTTGTGTAATTTACACAATATCGAAAACTGTCAGAACTAAGAAGTAGCTGAATATTTGAGTCTGATTCGATTGCACAGTTGTACAATACTCTACACAAGACTCGAGAAAATTGTGTTAAGTTTTTCCGATTCATTCTTGTAGTCGGCAAGCTTTAAAATTACAAGCACAGCATTTTAAATGCCAAAGAACCATTATTCAATTCATTCGTAGAAAACCTCATCAGAATCAAATCCAGAGTCAACATTAGCAAACTACACATGAACTTTGTTGAACATAGAGTGCACCTTTATCGTAAAACTAAAGAATAAATTATTCTAAGATTCTGATTTTAATACACAAGGGATTTAGTTTACTACCACGAAACGTTTTTGTCTTTAATAAGGAAACGTCAGTGAATAACTTCTAAATCTCTGCGTTCATAACCAGCAAACTTTGTTTTGGGAGTACAACTTGAAGTGGATGAAAACTGTATCATCCATTTCAGATTTTCGGACTGAAAGGATTTCAGCCTATCAATAAATGGGTAAAGTAGCTATTCGCTTTAATTTAAATCTGGGTATACACGCATTTTGGATTGCCAAATGTTGATTTATCTATGTTTGATAAACATTTCTCCTATGAAACTGATTCTTCGGCAATTTCAAATAACAATGTTTGCTGTCTTCATATTACCAGATCGTTTCATTCATAGAATCTGAATCCCGTGCTACAGTCCACTTGATGATTATCGAATTTTTAAAGCAATACATACATCCAAAAGCTGTATCTTCCACCACAGCGAATGCCCTAATCACATTGATTTTCAGACTGCTCATTCAAAATGTCACACAGTGAAACAGAATCATTTACTGGATAACGTTTCGGACACAATTTATTGTCCATATTCATATCAGGTAACTCCACAACTCGAGACAGAGTTTATACATTCCTAATTTTCTCCCCTTCTCTGCGATGACAAGGGTGGTAGAATTTTCCATATATCTGGAATAGGTGCAGAATCATTTCGATTGCATGTATTTGGTGTTGATTTGATAAACTAAGATTCGGTTATCAATCACTCTTCCACTCAACTAAGTTCGTTTTCAACACTGTCGCCTCATCCCACCTCACTATGTGGTTGTGCGTCATCGCATATAGAGCTATAGCCAAGTTTTTCTCTAGATTTCTTATCTTATTATGATCTACTAATCTTGATTTAGCTAAGTTTTTGTTCTCTGTTGTTCTAATCAATCCTGGTAGACTACTTTGACCTAAGTATTTGATAACGCAATCATTGCAAGGGATTTGGTAGACCAGATTATTTTGCTTAATTGGATCAATAGGATCTCTT